CAGTCACCCGTGCGCACTTGAAAATTGAGGGTGGTTATGTTTAATTTGGTGCAGCTACCAGTTAAACATGAACAACGAAAAGGGAATTCCGAGATATTAATTAATTTCGTAAGATGATTTTAAGAAACGCCTTAATGTCCAAACAAACAATATTATTGAATAAGGAATAATACATTTATGAATAATAATCTCTTCGAGTGTGTTTGATATTGAGGTTTAAATAAGTTATGAAAGATATTAGGTAGGTATATAATAATAAAATATGTATTATATTATCATAATAATGACAGATTAAAAATTGAAAATAGGATTTTAAATGTATTATTAATGTTTTTCATGTTAACTACTGCCATTACTAATGGCAATGCATTTTTATTGTTATTGGCGTTTACAGATGCATAACATTATAATAGATAATCCAAAATATAACATATTATCATCAAAAGTCTATGGCTGTATTAAGTGTTCAAGGAGAGACATTATACCTAATCAGCTTAAAATAATACAGGTAACTAATTATGCTACATTATGTAACCTAAACTTAAGCTCAGAGAAAAAGAGGTAATGTATGTAAATTATATGTTGAATGTGATCATATAAGTAAACTATTAAAAAAAAATTAAGTAATTATATTATATTTAATATAATAACTAATTGTAATTAATGAACATACTAAGATATCTTGTAGATTGATCTCAGTTTAACGAACTATAGATTAGGTTAGGCATTTTCATTGTTAACACAGGCACATAATATACAAATTGACGAACAATATTATTGAATTGTGACTAGATATCTAAATTCTAATTGATATTCTTGAATCTTGATAGTTAATCAGCTCATTGTTTAATTATTTTTCTATCAACAAATTTTAAAAAACGGTAGAAGATTTATTAATAAATTAATACCTGATTTTAGATTCTTCCGAGCGGAACGATAAATGTATTGATTTTACAATAATGTGTGTTTTTATATTTATTTATTAATCTATTTATTTTTTTGTGTCTGTTTATCACGGTTTCCTGCAGTAAAAGTGTTCTATTTTCTTCAACAGCAACTTTTCTGGTAGGAAAGTGAATCTAGTTGGTGCATTCGGGAGGTCAAAATTTCAAATTCCCAAAAGTTTTCAAAAGCAACAGGAAAAACGGGAATTTTTATGCAAAACTAGTTTTTGAAAAAATCGTTTTTTGTTTTTAGTGTAACTCCAACAAAAATTATAGTAAATACATGACATTTTCACCGAACATTTGTGTAAGCATTTTCTATATATCGTAGAACTTTCAAAATATTTTGATTTGTGTTGATTTACTTATAGGCATATGAAATTTTTCTATGATTATTTGTTGTTTTTAAACTTAAGTTGATAAAAAAATTTTTGCTCGATAAAAAAACTTGTAAATGTAATACAAGGTTTCTTGTAAATTGTTGTTAATAGAAATTTAAAAAAAGTTTAGCGTAAATCCACAATAATTTTTCATAGGCGTTTAAACTTAGAATTTTGACAAAATTCTTAAAAATCACTAAAATTAGCAAATTATATTTAGTTAGAAATTCATGAAAAATGTTCTATTGATACATAAGATTTAAAAATTTAATACAAGATTTCTTACAAGTTTGTCTACGTTTAACAAAAAAAAATTCTAACTAAGGAATCTAAGAAATATATGAATACCTACAGTTATATTTAACAAACATTTCAGTTCAAATTTGAACAAAATTGCAAATTAATACAAAATTACGTTTTTCATTTTGTCGTAATTCGGTTCTAAAACAGCCCAATTTAACGTAGGTATATTTAATATTTTTTCAGCATTACTGATAATTTAAGAATAATTTTAATTCAACTTACCGGCTACCATATTAATAATAAGTAATAACAATATAAAATATCCTAAACTGACTACCGTCTCCGCTCAGAATCGCTTTTCGTATACAATGATAAGATATCATTGAATTCAAATTTAATACCATCCATTACAGCGACCTCCTAGACACCTAATGTACAGCAGAGTGACATCCACTTACCCACTTTTTTAAATTTTATTTATACAATAATTATAGTGATATAGCCAATCCCAGTCCTCTGCATTTATTGAAATATTAGTTGTATACAGACTATACACATAATTATTAAATAAAAACATTAAGATAGGTAGTCAACATTGATATAAGAATCTGTTCTGTGGTTTCAAGGCCGTTGTCTATGTTCCTAAAATCTAGTAAATATATATTATCTGATATCATAAGTTATAATCATATACAAAGTAGGCAGTCATGTTGTGTCACATTGTAGTATGCACTCAGTAAATGTTTCTGCTGCCTGCGGGTTTAAATTGTTTTGTAAAAATATGACCAATACATGTTTTACAATTGTTACAAACAACTCTAGTTGAATTATCTATAGCTGAAGAATAATTCACAAACTACACAAATTCGGATAAAGTAATTAAATATGCATTAGAAATGTAGATTCATTTAAGTATGAAAATACATTTACATTAAAAACTACGCACTATAGTTTATATTATAACTACTTTAAAAAATAATTATCTAAAAGATACCAAATTTGGGGCAATAAACTGTTTCGTATCACCGCTCTGTGATCTACATTCTATATAATATATATTTAGTATAATATTATACCCTAACTTACACATCCGACATTTAAGGATAAACTGATAGCCACCTTTACAACCTGCAGGTAGTCGAATTTAACCACAGTTATTAAAACTCTGTACCTATGAACATGTTGGCGAATCGACTCATAAGGAGGTATGAAAAATCCCGTAAGATTTGAATATTATTTCTACATGATAATTTGATAGCTATTCATTTTCACAATATAAAATATTATTATACTCAATTACTCGTCTTTCAACCACGTCTCACTTAGAAGTATAAAAAAACAATTTGAATAAAATAACTTCAACATACTATTGGCTCTATGAGGTGTGACGTGCTAGGTTACTAATATTAAAAAGGTGTCTAATAAGTAATTAGATTGCTGTTGATTATAAATACAATGGTAAAATGATTATTAATGGTAAAACTAATGCATTGACAATGTGGCATATATCTAAAGCTCAACAAAAGGTAATATGATAGGATTATATTTCTTTTATACGAATTTCCATGCGGAAGATTTCACTTTCACACATTAATACATATTTTACTTCTTGAATAATTTTTTTTCAATAATATTCATTTTTAAAAACGTAATTCAAATCTATTCACATCACTTTCCACCCATAAGCTATAAATAACGCTACTGAATTAACGTCAATATGTGTGTGTACATATTGTATTATTGTACAAATCACTCTGTATACTAACAATATACGGAGTGATTCACCGAGCAAGTTCTCAACCACATTTTAAGCTTTTATTGTGTGTATACCATATATATTATATAGGAACATTTTGATTTTTGGAATTTTTAACATACTTAGGTCGTAGACCACATTTTCCAATTTTTGAAAACTCATATCTATTATTCCATTTATTTCCAATTTTTTTTTAAATGAAAAACATCTCGTATGATTGTAAATTTGTCAAGCTCATTTCGTTTTTGGATATTCTGATGAATGAAAACCAAAATTCGTACCAGTAGTTTCTAAGTTATAAGCCTTTATGAACCTATATACCAATGGTAATAGTAGATGATATTAATATTTTGAAATCAGGAGGCTCTGTGATGATTTGAAAATTATAATAATTTATACTAATCTATTAATTAAAACAATTTGTAAATATTGTCCGAGTATATAATGGGTATTTGAATAAATATTAAATTTATTTTTCATTCTTTGAGATACCATTATTACCCAACTCAAGGATTTACACATTTACAGCTCAAAACTTTTATAGTAGTTCTTATTTCGATTGATACTCGTAAACATTTTCAAACTAATTATTTACTTAACAGTAAAAAGGGGTGGTTCTCGCCAGGAAAGTTGGAAACCAAAGAAAAGTCCTCTAATGGTATGAAAAAAAATCAAAGTATTTCAACATAATTATAGTATGATGGTCTCGAAGGGTGTAATGGTATATACGTAGGTACCCGAAAGATCCAAAAACCAAAAAAAAAATAGTAAAGTCTAAAAACGTCGACGTATAATTCACCGGCGTGGATGAAAATGAGGGGGAGGGGGTGTGCCGAACGTGCTCGGCGAATCACGCTGTACGTATTGTAATAACAATAATAATAATAATATGTACCTGCGGCTATATAATATACGGATGCGATACGCATACGCCGCGCACACGCCGCACACATTATTACACTCCGCGAGCTCGCGCAAACCACTACCCTCGGGCACGCTGTTGGGGGGGGGGACTGCGGACGGGGGAGGCCTGCGTAGACGGGAGGGCGGCGGCGGAGGGGTTGCTAAAAACACCCCTGTGCGACGGCGGCGGGGTCGCTAAAAACACCCCCGTACGGTGGCGGCGCACACGGGACAACTGCGGTGCATAGGTGTGACCCGGTTTCGCGCGCGGACGACGGAGCCCGAGGCGGGCGGCGGCGGCGGCGGCGGCGGCGGCGCGTCCACTGCGCCTGTGTGTCCTAGTTGGCGCGCTGCGGCGACGGCGGCACGAAAATCGTACGCCGCCGTGGCACACGACGCGAGTCCGACGCCCGAACGCCATGCCCGCCGCCGCCGCCGCCGCCGCCACTGTCGCCTTATGAACCTATATACCAATGGTAATAGTAGATGATATTAATATTTTGAAATCAGGAGGCTCTGTAAACATGGGGCAATAAACTGTTTCGTATCACCGCTCTGTGATCTACATTCTATATAATATATATTTAGTATAATATTATACCCTAACTTACACATNATGCCCGCCGCCGCCGCCGCCGCCGCCACTGTCGCCGCCGCCGCCGTCGTGTCAGCGCCGCCACTGCCGCCGTGGTCGTCGCGTAACGCCGCCGCCGTGGTCGCCGCCAACGAATGAGAAAAATGAAAATCGCGTGGTGCGTACAACAGTAATTAAAATAATAATAATAATAATTGAATTGTTATCATGCCGCTGCAGTCGTAGGTGAATCTTTCTGCACAGATCATCTGTCCATCGACCCGCGGGACGTATCGTCAGTATTAATAATAATAATAATAATAATAATATCGACTGTCGTCGTGACATTGCAGTGGAATAGCAATATTACAATACACTTTTGTACATTAATATTAATCGATGCGATGATAATGACTTATACTATAATATATACATAGGAATCATTAATTATAACATTCGTTACTAAAAAAAAAAAAAATAAAATATCATACACATCCGCTCCCACCACGTGCACAGGTAATACACAGGCATATAAGCGTATTTAAGTAGTTTATTATAATATAGTATTGCATAAACTACTGTACATTTGTATTAGTATATTAAATTGTAGATTTCGATGACACACACATTATAATATTATATATATTTTAATTCACAAGTAGGTTCCTATACGAAATTATTCAGGAACATCATTAGATAGTTAAGTAAATAGATTTATTTTTTTTCGTGATTTAAATTTTGACCACATTTTTGTGAAGTATACACTTATGCGTACCTGATTACTCGCCACTCGAGTGTATTCAAAAACAAACACTATTCAACACAATAGTACCTACTTGATTTGGACTTGAAAAGTATGTCTTGTAAAATCGTTGACTTGTAATATGTGTACTGCAATAATTGTTACATAAAAATATGAAATAGATACCTTATTCATATATTATTACATACGCATTATAAGAAGTAGACTGTTGTTTATGTCTCGTTTGTAATAATAATATGTAATATATTGCTATATAATTCCTGATTAGGATAATCAAATTTCTTAGGTATTTTGGACCAAATAATGACTGGTGCAGGTACCGTGGATAAATACCCGGTGAGTAGGTAAATATGTTGTGTATTTTTCTGGTATTAACCCAACAAATGGATAAATTCTTTTCGACATTATTTTCTACCTATTTTTCTGCTACATGGGTTGATGAATGTTCATTTAGATAAATATGTATATATATTATGTTTAATTTGTATTACTATAATTATACAAGTATTAATTATTTGTGACCTAGACTGAATAATGCATTTAGTATCGGGAATCAAAATAATTTGCATTTGTACATTAATTTGATTCAAAGATTTGTTTTCGTGATTATTTACTGATTTATTTTATCATTCGTCTATATTTAACAGTTAACTGTACATACTTTTGATCATTAAGTTCAAATTCTTTATTATTTATTAATTTATTATCTTTTTATATTTTGTAATAGGAATTAAATAGGAATTAAAAGTATACCTAGGTATACAATATTGAATAATATGGTCGTATGGATGTATTTAAAAAAAAAATATAAATCATAGGCTCTTAAAATTTTAATCTTAATTACCAAGCTTATCCATCACTGACTTTAAATACTAGTTTGACTACGTACAATATTGTGGATTGAATGTGAAATTCACTTCTCTTTTTTCTTATTTAATGACGTTGTCGTATGAAGATGCGCACCCATGTAAATACACAAGTTAACTAGCGGGTGATAATTTAAAGTAATAATATAATATAATAATAAGGGTGAATTTTATTGCTTTTGTCGATTGATGGGCGATTGTGTCAATTGGTTATACTGTGTAACACAGATTAAAAAAACAAATTAGGTATATTTTATACTTGCGTAATGCATAATTATATTTCATACAATATGATTTCCATACAATTTAATAATACAAACTTTAAATATACGGGATATCGATCACTATATAAAAATATACACTATTACAAGATACTGAGGAAAAGCTCGATTCTCTGAGCTTTAATTATGGCCTGCGGGATCTATGGGACAGGTGTTATGGAATATCGGTTTATAATTTTGTTTTGATGCTATAATCGTTACAACCGTGACAATATTAAAATTATAATTCTAGGGCCAGTAGAGTTGCAACGAAACAACGTATTTGTTTTGAATTAAGACAAATTATATCTAAATATAATATTATATAGTCAAGGTATTTGAAAAAAATCAATTAGAAACTAGTACCAAGGTACTTTGTTATTTTACCTTTAAATACAAGTTACAATTTATATTTTTTCTAATTATTATTTTCAAAATAAGATTGCTAAAATGTAAAAAATACTTCAAAATGATTTGTTACAGTACTATTTATAGTAATTAGTATTGGTATTAGTATTACTTATAGTACGAGTATAGTAATCACTTATTAATTTACTAAGTTGTGTAATATATTAAATATTACTTACTTTACAATCTATAATATACTAAAAAGAGGAGTAATATGAATATATTGTATATCTTTGTCAGAAATATTCAGGTAGTGAAAAAAGTTTAAAAAGTCCCCACCCCACTTCATCTAGAAAACACTTGTATAAGGAACTTATAAATCACCACTTGTCAATTGATTTGATTGGGGGTTCTGTCATTGGATAGCATCCCCTCCTCACAAAATGCATGTAAATAAATTAAATATATACAATCTAAAACTGTGTTTATTACATAACACTATGCTACATATTGTATATATTCTAAAAAAATGTATCTTAATTTGTATATTCTATAGTATCTTAACAAAAAAAAATTTAGAAGTATAATATATATCAAAGAAAATAAATATAAAAAATATTACTTAGTCATCTACAAAATATGCATATTTTCTAGTTCAAGTGATTATCTATACCCAAATTGTTTTGAAATTAAATGAATCACGTAGGGATAGCTACAGGACCTATATATTATGCAATATACGCACACAAGTATGAAGATTCAAATAGAATTTAAACACAGAGTTCGATGTTATAAACATTAAGCACGCACAAACAAGTTATATAGTTGATATCTGTTGGCTGTTTGCCAACTACAAAAGTTGAACATTTGCATACAAGTCGCAAACTTCATAAAAACCCCCAAGAAAGTCAGTGTGCTGTAGTAGGCTTCTAGTGCACCTACTTCGTCATTGAGTATAGATAACTTTAATGATGTGTTGAATTTAAATTTGATGATAAATCGGTACTAAGTGAAAACGATATGCCATCACCTAAATATTTCTAATGATATTTTATATTTATTCATATTAGGTACCACTTGTTCTATATTAGGATATGTTTAATGTTGAATAACATTTATTTAATAACACCTATAAAATATTACATTTTTGTCATTTGTTGTAAACCTTAATTTAAAAATTTAATCATTTAAATGTCTAATATCGTAAAAATATGGACTTGTAATGTCGTTATTCAAGTTGTACGGTTTATATTTTATTAATTATTACAAAATAACTAGTTAAATTGATCTAGGTGATATTGTTATTTTACGTTTGAATATCAAATATATAGTTAAAGCTTGAACTTTAAATTGTCATAAAAAATGTATGCGACTAGGTTAAACTTTTAGAGCCTCAGTTGAATGATGAATGTATTGATTTTACATTCATGTGTTTTTTCTTTGTGTATGTATTACGATTTATGGTAAAAAATATGCTTTGATCATCAGCAAGGGTTGTTTTTTAATAGCAAATCAGATCTAGTTGGTACATAAGAAAGGACACATTTTGAGTGTAAGTCCACATATATTTTTTTATGCAGGTCTGGTATTAAAAGTTTAATGAAATTGTATATTCATGTTCATGTATAAACGATTTAAAATCAAACGAATTTCTTATTTTGTTTTAATTCAAATACTTTAAACTCACCAAAAGTTTACATTAATTTTTTTCTATACACATGATACCACTCTCAAAATATTCTCACTCTTTTTGAGTACCTTTTTTTATAGACTTTTGAAATTAGAAATTTTTTTTAGTTGTTATCAATCCCAATTTTTGATTATACGAATTTTAAATTCAAATGTTGATAAAATTCGTCATAATAATGAACATTTAAAAATTATTTTGTTGTTAAAAAATTACAATATTTTTATAGTCAAGTCTTTTGTAAATGTAAAACAAAGTTCTTCATTCTTTAACCAGAGAAAATTTAAAGAACAAAGTGATATGCACAGTATTTTTCATAGATATTTAAGTTCAAATTTGGAAGAAACGAGATATGTAAACGAAGAATAATCGAAAGAATAAAGAAATAGGTTTTAGTAATTTTTTTGCAATTCATAAATATTTTTCTTGAAGACTTGAAACTTTTCGTACATTATAATCATATTTTATACACACATAATGATATTCTCAAATTCAATTTTTCTGGAAAAAATAAATTTAGCTACCTATTATTTACAGTAAAATAAATTACTTTTATTGTAATATAAATAGTGATATAAGCTATATTATATAATCGCCTTTTGTACAAAATGAGTAATCATTAAATTAAAATTGAAAATTTTTCCTACAGTAACTTACTTAATGACATAGTACACTCGAAACCAATTGTACAATTGAGCTGCAGCCTACTTTTTTCTTTTTTAATTTCAGACAGAACAACTTATGAGGAATCTCGTATTACATTTCCAAGTTTCATATATAAAAGTAAAAAAAATAAAAATAACACAATTATATTTTTATTATTGTTACTCATTAGTAGTGAGCTAACATTTAACAGGATACCCTTTTGCTGGTGTAGTTAGCTCAACATAAGTTTAAATAACTACCCAGTGGCGTAGACAGGGGGTTTGAGTGATTAACCCCTCCCCCCAACCCCAGGAAACATTTCCCTCTTTTAAATATTTTATTTATATTAGAAAACTGCAAAAGACTTAGTTTAATTTATACTGACCCCCTCTACCCCATCATTTCATAAACCTGGCTACTCCACTGTATCTAAATAAAAGTTATTAAGCCATAAACAACTAACCATTCGTTTGAAATTAGATTTTTATTCATAAACATTCTCAGAAATATATTACACTCTGCTTTGCTTTGGCATATGGAATTTGTCAGTATCTTAAAATTACTTGTGTTGACTACTGTTCAAAGAATCAACTATTATATTAAAATGTTTTAGTTCTCGCGAAGAATAAATACAACATATCATTATTATTTTGTGTTGATTTTGTGAAATCGCGATTACATTGTTGAGAAAATAATGGCTGAAAAGTAAACAAATGATTATTGAAAGTTCGCTGAATGTCTAGTTGCAGGTATGGTATACAATAATGTACGATACTTATCATCTGTCGTGTAAATAAAGTAAAATTAAATAGTTAAAAACGGTTACATTGTGTACTATTAAAACGTGCTCGCGAGATTAGTTTATACGTTTGTTTAGCCGTATACGGTTTATAAGTACTATTTTAGCGATTTAGGTTATATTTTTAGGCGAATTTCGGTAATGGCCT